GGCCTTTTCTGATGAAGGGTCTAGGCCCGAAACGTCAGCCTTCCTGCTCGGCCTGCTGTGTTCATCCAGCTCTGCACCTTGTTGTCTCATGTAAAACTCTAACTGGCTGGACAGACTAGACACAAGAAGAATTCTTCCCTGGCTGTACAGTCTAGAACCTGGGGATACAGTCGACCTTTTAGGATGGAGATGCTGAAACATTTCTGCAAAGGATAGCGGAGGTTCTAAACAGTCATACTGGACACAAAACGTCAACATGCTTCTTCTCCACAGATGCTGCCAGACCTGTTGAATTTCTCTAGCACTCGGTGTTTGTTTTGGAGCAGGAATTTGATGACCTAATGCAGTCTGGCCTTAATGAGACAGCATTACGGTCAATTCTAACAACACTTAAATAGTCTAGCCTTTGCTTGTATAAAATCACAAAGTCAAAAAGCAACAAAAATTGGACAAACCACCTGACATTGACCTCAGCGATAGAATGACAACATCACAGCTTTCCAGATAAAGCCTATAAATGTCCTGGGAGTGGGGACCAAATCTGGGAGAGCTGCCTGATAAAAACTATTCAAGCAACTGCCTGACAGAATCAATCATTCTCATAGGCTCATATCACACAGCTAATGTCTCAGGCTCTCTCAGCATTCCTATATATATCCTCTTCTAACAGTAGGGCAGAGACACCAGAGGTGATATTACAGTTACGTACAGTCAGGAAGGAGGTGACACGAGTCCTCAAGATAGACTGTGGATTCCAACAGAAGCCTGCTCACTGATGCTCAGTCTGAGCTCCATCAGGGTCAAGCAGTCTTGAATTCGTTCCAGCTTGTCCAAATGTGCTGGCAACAGAGCCAAATTTCAGACATGAGGGGAGAGTAACTGTCCTTGTCATCAAGATGCACTTAACCATGTGTGGAATCAAGGTGCCTTGCAAAACTGAAAATCAAAAGGAGGGTCAGAGGTAAAATTCTCCAGTGGCTGGAAAGAGACCAAGCAGACAGGAAAACAGTTATAATTGTTGGATGCCAATCATGGCAATCTCATAAGCTCCTTAGGGTAGTGTTTGAAGCCCAGCATTTTGAGGTGTTTCAATGACTACCCCTCCGTCACAAGGTCAAAGATGAGGTTAAGTGCTGAGGATTCAGGCATTCAACACCATTATCTTAATTACTGAGTCTGGACTGGAAGGCATTAAGACATGAACAACATTCAGGCCTAGACCAATAAGTGACAAGTAATATTCGTGCCTCAATATCTAGGCAATAATCAATCATCGCCAACAAGAGAATCTAACCATTGCTCTTTGACATTCAACGGCGTTATTATTAATAACAGAGGCATTGACCAGAAACTCAAAATGAATAAATCATAATTATTGTGGCTGCAAGATCAGGTCAGAGACTGGGAACTCTACAAGCAATTACTCTCCTGCCCCCTTCCCCACCAAACACCTGTCCACCATTTATAAGGCACAAGTCAGGATGGAATACTCTATTTGCCTGGATGGGTGCAGCTCCAACAATACAAGATGGTTGGTACTATTCAGGACAAAAGTTGTCCATCTCCAACACTGCTAATAGTGTATATGAACACCAAGGCTCCTTTCAATAGCACCTTCCAAATCTGTGGCCTCTACCATCTAAAAAGACCATGGACAGCAGAGACCTGGGAACATCACTAGCTACAAGCTCCCCTCCAAGCTTCACTATTCTGACTTGAACTGTGATCACCATTCCTTCACTACCGCAGGAACATCATCCTGGAACTCCTTCCTAACAACACTTCTGCATGTCCCTAAGACTCCCAAGGATTGCAAAGGCTCAATAAAAACCAAAAGAACTGCAGATGCTGTGAATTAGAAACAAAAAACAAGTTGCTGGAAAAGCTCAGCAGGTCTGGCAGCATCTGTGAAAGGAACAACAGAGCTAACGTTACGGGTCTGGTGACCCTTCCACAGAACTGATGGTGGCTGGGATAATGTCAGTTTATATGCAGATAAAAGGGAGGGGGGTGGGGTACGGAGTAAACGATAGGATAGTGCCTAAAGAGACAGAAGAGCAGTTGGATAGACAAAGAGTTGATAACGATCAGGCTGGGAGGGTGAACAGCTGTTAATGGGGACTATCAGTGACTAACAACAGGGGGTGTGTGATGGTAGGCTATGTGGTAACAAGGCCTGGTATGTGGGGTAGGGGGCTGGGACATGGGAGTGTTTAGGCCCTAACATTATTGAACTCGATATCAAGTCCGGAGAGCTGCAGGATCCCCAAGCGGAAAATGATGTGTTGTTCTTCCAGCTTGCATCGAGATTCGCTGGAACTTTGCAGCGAGCCAGAAACAGAGATGTTGGCCAGGGAATAGGGTGGTGGCGTTTCCACCACATCCAGCAAGATGCCACGGCCAGACACATATTCTCCTCCCCTCCCTTGTCTGCCTTCCGCAGGGACCATTCCCTCTGGGATACCTTGGTCCACACTTCCTTCACGCCCAACACACCCTTACGGCACCTGGCCCTGTAACCGGCGAAGGTGCAACACCTGCCCATTTACCTCCTCCCTCCCCAGTATCCAAGGGCCCAAACATACGTTCCAGGTGAAGCAACACTTCACCTGCACTTCCCAGAATCTAATCTACTGCAGTCGCTGCTCACAACGTGGTCTCTCCTCTATACTGGGGAAACAAAGTGTAGACTGGGTGATGGCTTTGCAGAACATCTACATTCTGCTTTCAAAAAGACCCTGAACTACCTGTTGCCTGCCACTTTAACACACCACCCTGTTCCCTGGCCAACATCTCCGTTTCTAGCTTGTTGCAGTGTTCCAGCAAACCTCAATGCAAGCCGGAAGAACACCACCTCATTTTCCGCTTGGGAATCCTGCAGCCCTCCAGACTCAATATCGAGTTCAATAATTTTAGGGCCTAAATTCTCCCATGTCCCAGCCCCCTATACCACACACCAGACCTTGTTACCACATAGCCTGCCATCCCAACGACACCCCCCCCCCCCCCCCGCCTGTTGTTAGTCACTAATAGTCCCCACTAACAACTATTCACCCTCCCAGCCTGATTGTTATCAACTCTTTGTCTATCCAAATGCTCTTCTCTCTCTTTGGGCTCTATCCAATTGTTTACTCCATACCCCATACCCCTCCCGTTTTTCTGCATATAAACTGACACTTTCCCAGCTACCATCAGTTCGGAGGAAGGGTCACTGGACCCGCAATGTTAGCTCTGTTGTTTCCTTCACAGATGCTGCCAGGCTTGCTGAGCTTTTGCAGCAATTTTGTTTTTGTTGCAAAGGATCAAGTTGGCAGCTCACTGCCACCTATTTAGAAAATAAATGGTGGTCTTGTCACTGGCAGGCAATAAATGGCACTGTTATAAATTAAACAGATTTACATTTATTTACTTCAAGCTTGACCGTCATTATATTCAACCCTTTGAATAATGTAGGACATGTATAAGGTTGCTATATTGCCAAAGCTATATCAGAATAGAAACTATGGAATTAAAATGCTGTGTTACTAATCTAATTACATATAAAAGGTGAAGAGGTTTATAGTTCAGAACAACTCCAAAATGACTGTCCATTAGGAAGAACTGCCCTTATAAATGTGCTTTTCACAACGTCAAGACATCCCTAAGCACCACATAGCTAGCTAGTAACTTGTAGTCACTTGCAGTACAGAAAAAATACTTCATTAGGGCACAGCAAGGTTCAAAAACAATAATAAAACAAGTAATTGATTAAATTGTTTTAATTTGGTTAAGTGTTGAACCAAGACAGCAAAAGCTCTCCCCTTCTTGTGGCACTGTCATGAAACATTTTACATCTAACTGAGAGGTCAGACAGAGCCATAGTTCTGACAATGCCACATACCTTCACAACAGTGCTGACATATCAGCTGAATTCCTGTTTGGAACAATGTTGTGAGCATTCTGCATGATGGTTCCTCTTACAGCACAGCATGGATTTTGTGTTTGAGTCTCTGTCTTGAACCCATGAACCCATGAACCCATGAACTCCTTACTCAGCTGAAACCTTTAAAAGATACAGCTCCTGCAGTGCAGCAAAGAAAAGAAATCAACACTATGTACTTAGAACTAAGCCGCTCCCAGTTAGTAATTTGCACCATAATGATCCACAGCTGAAAATGCTGAGACGGCAGTTGCTTACTTATTTCCATGCTTAGCCACACTCCAAGTCACAACCTGTTAACATGAAAACGACTCATTTATGCCCACTTTTTGCCTCCTATCCATTAATCAATCCTCAGCATATGGTAATATATCACCCCCACTTCCATGAGCCCTAGACTGCGCATTAAGCTTTTGTATGGCACGTTACTGAATGTCTTCTGCAACACTAAGCCTCACTGTTCTCATCACTGCGTACAATTCACCGTCGACCCGG